GGTGGAGTGTCAGTCCAGGGAGGCTGAGGTAAGGGCTCCCTGCCCATGGTCCTTCAGGTTCTATCTTTGAGTTTCGGACCCTTTCCTTGCAGCCTGACCCCAAAAGCAGGAGGCCTTTTCCTCATCTCTTCTCATCCATCCTGCTTTCTTCAAGCTCTTCCCATGCCCTCCGTCTTTCTTTCCTATTACACAAGCGATGTCTCTTTCTCGATTGCCTTTCTTCTATCCTCAGCTCTATCAGAGACTCCTACTTATTGACAAACTCCCACACCATTCGCCCTCTTCCAGGACGCCTTTCCAGACTACTGCAGCCAGTTAGTCATTTGTTTTCCTATATTCCTGCAGACTGGGGTACACACCCGGCTCACAGCACTCGATCATAAACTCACAGTAGTTTATGACGGTGATGGCTCAGTGTTTGCTGATCATTAACTATCCAGTAGGCAACACTCAAGGACTCCACAAGGATGACTATTTAACCCTAACAGTCCCTCTATGAAATAGATACAATACTATTGTTATTTGCCAGAGAAAAGCAGAGATGGTAAAGCAGCCTACAGAACTATGGAAAGATTTGCTGATGCTTAGAAAAGTGTTTGGCACACAATATTAGCTCAATAACACTCATCTTGGGAATTATTAAATGTGTACATAAATCAGGAAGTAATTACACTCTTGTCTCCATTATAAAAAGCTCAGGTAATAACTTGTTCTTTTTTTTTTTAAAGACAAAGTCTCATGTAGCCCAGGCTCACCCTGAAATCTTGGTCCTCCTGCCTCCACCTCCCTAGTGCTAGTATTACAGGAGTGGGCAGCTGCATATACTTCTTTGTGAAATTGAAATTTCTCATTACTATTGTGTGTAGGGGATGCGTGCCATGGACTGTGTGTGGAGGTCAGAAGATATCTTTGTAGAGGCTGGTTCTCTTCTTCCACCTTTGTGTGACTTCTACATCGCCAGGCTTGCATGACAAGAGCCTTTATCCAATAAACCATCTCAGCATCTCACTAGCCCTGTTTGTCTGACAGCATCTCTTGCAGCTCAGGCTGGCTTCCAACACTGAGTAGAAGGAGATTAATTTCTTAACCATCTTTCAAACTGTCTTTTCTGTTGGGTGCCTGGCCAAGGCAGAGGGACCTACAAATACCTACTGCTGGGGCAAACCAAGAGGGCCCAAATTCTAGCAGTGCTATTCACTGGCTCCCCTGAAAGAGCTGTTCCTCCCAGCACCCCCTGCATGTCACCTGCCAGATAGAGAGAACACTATTCTCTTAAGTTGCTCCTAATATTATGACATACGTGCATGGATTTGGTGGTGTGGCAACTCCATACCAAATTGCATATTACAGGCTTATCCGGGCCTGGCATACTAACTAACCACCTGGGTGTCACATCTGAGCCGGGTGGAGCCCTTGTGCCAAGGTGATATCAATCTCAAAAGGGTTCATATGGTTTGATCTTTGGTTCACCCCATTCTCATTCAGAGCCACACCCAGGAAATGAATTATGAAGTGCCTAATGAAATCCTCATAAATATTAATAGGTTATAAACAACGATCTCAGGCTACCTTATGAAATGCACACTGTGACCGTGCTCTGGACACCTGCTAAGTCACTGTCATGTCTAGGTACCTCCACTGCAGCTTTCCCCTATTAGATCCCGGCCCCCTGCTTCGGCCAGCATGTGCAGACACATGCAGAGATCTGCAAGGAACCAGTGTTCAGTGCCCGAAGGTGGGGTCTGGCTGATAAGCCCAAGTCAATTCCAGATGGTATTAGATCATATTCCCCTCAAAGCAGAGAAGGGGTCCAGACAAATCACATTTGTTCCCACTCAGGCCTGTGGCTAACTGCGAGCCCTAATTAAGCCCAGCATCCAGCACACCTGTGTTATCTGGAGCAGCTTTTATGATCGACCACGTGTTTGCTAAGGTCTGGTATTTCTTATCTGGCTGATGCTAAGCATAAACTATTATGTCAAAGAAAACAAACACTCTGTGTGAACAAGTCAGTGTCTGTCCCGTGGGAGGACAGGTGGGACCCATCTCCTGTGGTTTGGCTTGAGTCACGAGAAGAACAGGAGCATGGCCTCTTGGAGATGAACACCCATAACCCATGCCTAAAGCTGGTATGGGAGGGCCTATCCAGAAAAAAAGTAACCAGTAAACGTGGAGAACACCTGTGTTTGTCTGCACTCCCACAGCCCTGAAAAGCTGCTCCCCAACTCATGTCAACCATGTGATGCATGGGAGGGCTATTGGTTACAGTAGCCAGCCTTCCTGGATTTGACCATTATAAATCCAGAGGTAGTCCAATCGAAAACTCACCATTGAGCTGCAAAAGGAAGATGCACCTTTTGAGCCACAGACCTGTCACGACGGGCCGCAGACATCCCAAGAGGAGAGAAACCTGCCCTTAGCACAGGGGAATGGAGGAAAGGATCCAGCATGAATGGAAGGAGAGAGGATGGTAACGACTGCATGGTGGACCATCCTACCTCCATGCTGGAATGCTCTCCCTGCTGGCCTGATTGGTTTCAGCCGGGGCTCTGACCTCACAGAGCCTCAGTCTTACACTGCTAGTGCATTTTCGGACTCTCACTGCTCAGCATGGGCAGTTTTTATAAGATGGGCTCTCAGGCATTTGAAAAGCCTTCATTTCTCCTCACAGACCAGACGTAAGAACTCAGGCTCAGAGCCACTCCTACTTAGGATAACTAACTAAAGACGTCCTCATCTTCTTTGTATCTCAGGTACCCACAGTGATCTGTCAGCCACAGGTGTGAGGACTCTGCTGCTTCAGGCCACTAGATCTTGTAAAATAGGACTGGCCAGACAAGACAAGCCACTCTCTTGCTGATGACTTTTCAAAACATATCTTCAGAGCCAGACATGGTGGTGCATGCCAGTAAGCTTAGCAATCAAGATATGGATGCAGAAGATCAGGAGTTCAAGCCAGCCCAATAGGTAGTGAGTTTTTGGCTAGCCTGGGCTACATGAGACCCTGTCTCAAAACAAAAGACACCATGCTGGCCAACCTTCCTCTCATGCCCTGTTGGCTAATTTCCCTCAGAAGGCTCACCTTTGGATCAGCTACCCAGGCAATGCCACTTCCTAATAAAACAGTTATTCTATGCAGCTGTAATCCTAGCTGTAACCCACAACAGGATTGTCATGGGTTCAAAGCCAGACTGGAATAAAAGTCCTAAAAACTCCTCCATGAGAGACAGTGTGTCAAATAGTGGCCCACAACTTTTTTCTATGGTGCCCTTCTTATGACTTTCTTGGGATTGCAGGGGTCATACATAGGGTGTTTTTCTAAAAAAAAGAGCCACCGCATACAATGACTGAAAAAGTTAACTCTGAAGGTCTTCTGGCCCGATTCCCCAGGGAGCCATGAACCACATAATTCCAACTTTGAAGGGAGGCATTGTCAGGAGTGCCAGGTCATCTGTCTTCTCCCCTTTCCTTCGCTGCCCTGGCATACTCTGCTTGAGGCTGGACCCTGGTAAGTTACTGGATCACATGGGGGAAGGGGACAGCTCTTCTTCTTAGGGCTGAGGTGCACATGGCTTTGTACAGTTGGAACGCTTTCCTGTACTCTGTGCATTGGTGCACTGGGCTCAGGAGTTTGGCAGCTGTCTCCCTGGGGCAATGGAAAGCAGCCTTATCCCACGGTGGCCTCAGCCACTCCCCATCACCAAAACAAAAACACAACAGGCTCCATTGCCATGGAGAGTTCAATCCTCTTGTCCTGGATTGGCACGGAACAGAATTCTGTGGGCTCTGCTGAGCTACTTCCCGAGAGGTCTAAATGCCGTGCATTCAGTGTTAACCTAAACACCCAGCCTGGGCCTGTCCCAGCATCAGTCCTCCAGGGCCAGCAATGGATCTCAGCTTTAGCAGCCTGTCGGGTGGTAGCACGTCAGAGATGTGATGCTCTGGGCTGCAGGTTCACTGATGTGGCCAACCATAGACCACAGGGGACACAACCAGTTGGTGGAGAATTAGCTCACAGGTGTGCCCCTGAGCAGAGACTTCCTGGATCCTGGGGAAGGGGCTAGGCGGTGATAAGAAGAGAAGACCAGAGACCTACCTCACAGCCTATCAATTGAAAATCAGGGAGTTAGGTTGGGGAGATGGCTTGGCGAATACAAAGCTTGCTGCATGGACTTAAGGATCTGAGTTCCAATCCCCGGCACCCATATAAAAATCTAGGCCTGGAGACAGACGCGCTGAGGGGACAGAGACAGGTGGATCCTAGGGCCTTACCGGCCATCAGTCTAGCTGAAGTGGCAAATTCTAGGCTCAGGGAAAGATCTTGACTCAAGAACAATGTGGAGAGCAATAGAGGAAGATGCCTGAAGTTGGCCCCTGGCCTCCTCGTATGCACACACAGGCAAGTACGTCCACTCACACCCCACACCACAAAACCAGACAGGAGTCTTTGTAAAATGTTTTCTCCCAGTAGACAACCACTTAAACTACACATCTTAGATAACGCGGTACTTAAGTTGTAGAATCAGACAGAGCCACCCAGCATGCCTTTGGGAAGTATGAACCCAGGTAAAACAATTGCTTTCTCAGTCCGCACACCTCTAAAGCTGTCAAAATACCTTCTGCAGGTGTTCAATGGGCTCACAGACAAAGGATACCTTGTACACAGAAGTTTCTCAATAAATAGCAGGGCCCACAAGCAGCAGGGTCGTAGAGACAGGAGAAGTAGGAAGAAGGATGGTGGCATTTGCTTCACTCCCTCCATTTTGCTTTGGTTCCCTCCCTTGGAAAAAGTACAAAGGAGTAGCTGTGGCCACCCCATTTAAGGGGCTGAAGGGCTGATCTTTGTCCCTCAAGGCAGTCCTTCCAAACAAAGGAAGCCTTCCCCTGAGAACCACAATACAGCACCTACAGGCACCTTACGAACCTCAAAACGACAAGAACCCTAGTTCTTTGGCTTCATGTCCCATGAGGGTGACAAACATCCACAGGGTCCCCCTTACCTTGGTGTTCATGCAGGCTTTCCCTCGCTTATACTCCTTGTGGGAGCCACGCTTATCCAGTTTGTGCCACAGGGCTTTGGCCTTCCAGGTGTTCACCTTGGACTTGAGCTGGGAGTAGAAGTTCCTATGGTCCAGCGGGTCTAGGTCCAGGAGGCAGGTGAGGATGTTGAAGGCCTGGAGGGTCCCTTTGCAGGTGGTAGCTTGCACAAAGTTCTCAAAGACCTGGCTGGCCTGGGCCTGCTTCTCATCCTCATTTTCTCCCATGGTTCAGGAGCTGCATGGAACAGAGGTGTGGAGGGATCAGTAGGAGTTAGCATGAAGGGCTGAATAAGTGTTACACCTGCAGGGGAAGGCGTAAACAGGTTAGCCTTATATCTTTTTAAGGCACTAAAGGGCTGATCTTGAGCCCTATGCTCACCGCTCCACCTGGACCATATTTGGAGAAGGTCCAGTGAATCTTCTAGCCTGGCATGCTGCTTTGCTGGCAACCTCTCTTCCCAGCTCCCCTCCTTCCCTTGGCTGGAGAACTGCAGATTGCACAAAGCTATATAAATATACCCCAGAGAATGTCAACAGGACCTAGGCACTCAAGCTCCAAGTCAGATGGCTCTGGAAACAGTGAGTAGGAAAAGGCCAGAAAGGATTTATCCCCCATGGAAAACCCACCATTCTCAGTGTTTTGAATCATGAATTCAACCTTGTTAAAATTAAGTCACTGCACGGGTGAGAACCCCACAGCCCATCTTCCTCCAGCTCCACAATCCTCTTTACTGATTACCATGGGATAGGACTGTCCCCTATACAGATGACAAATGGCAACTTCTCAAAACTTCTCTTTCTGGAATCTGCTGGAAGCATACCATCTACCCCAGTCAGACAACCAGAACACAGACTCATATGGCTTTCTCTCTGCTGGTAGCAAAGGAGCCCTTTCTGTGCAAGACCAAGCAGAGAGCTGTTTAAACAAGTGCTTGGGGCTGATGTAAGGGAGACACTCAATGGGGCGTTCATTCACATTGCTGAAATAGCTTGCTTGGGTTTGGGCATGCTCCTCTCTCTCTCATTCTCTCTCTCTCTCTCTCTCTCTCTCATCCTAACTTCAAACATTTCTTAGGAAAATCATTTCAGCTTCAAAGGAATGAAAATGAAGGAAAGCCGCTTCCCCAAAGCAAAGCTATTTTTTCCTCAAAATGCATGGAGAGTGCAAGAAGGTCAGTGTGAGGGATTTTGGCTGTCCCACCTGTTAGGGCACTGAGGATCCTGGCAATGGGAGGCTGGATAATGCACAGAGTAAAAGGCCCCCAAGAAGCTTCATGCGCCCCAGATGGGATCACTTATGGAGAGCACATCTGGGTCAGGGGTTGGTTTCAAAACACCCAAAGCAGTCAGGAGGCTGTGTATCTTTTTCCATAATCTCTGATTCATCGACAACAGTTTCTGGGGCCTTGGCTAGCGTCAGCATCACTCTGGGTGCTGGGGATAGAGATGCTTGATACAGAGACAGACCCCGTCTGGGGAAGAAGACAGAACAGTAGACAGAAGAGCACTTGTGGCATTTGGACAAAGAGCCTGGGGGTGCTCAGAGAGGCATGTGTTCCATCGAGCCTGGAGAAGTCCCCAGAAGAGGCCAATTTGTTTCTGTTGTTGGGAGGAAGGTTCCAGTACAGACAAGGGATTGGGCATCATGTGCTAGGGAGATACCATGCAGAGACACGAGTCTGGAAGGAGCTGGGACAGTCACAGCAACAGCAAAAGCGAGGTGATAGCGGTACAAGCTTTCTGCAAAAATGGGGGTTGGGGGTTCTGAGACAAATCATGGCGTGTCCCCTGCAGGCCAAGGAGTATACAGGGGGGAGCCTGTTTTCCTCCTGCTGCTCCCCCAGGAGTGCCCACTGTGCCTGACATTGTGCTCAAATGGAGATTAACCCCTGTCCCTGCGCAAGGTCTTACCAGTTTGCATACATTGGCCAGACCCATCCTTCAGGAGGGCCCACCTGGCTTCCCTGATCCATGCCGCCCTCCAAGTTCCACAGGAGGAGAGGGATGGCAGCGCCGGTGCCCTGCCTGGTTTAGAGGAGACATGAATTCCTCAGCATGTGCTCCCTCAGCAACTCTAACTTCTCCGGCACTTGCTTGGCATCTCTCACATCGACACCGTGGCCTCCCCTGTCTCATCTTTCTCTGCATGTCACACTTGCCATCCAGGAAGCATCAACAGAGAGCAGGACTCGTCTGCCTCTGAGTGTGTCCACATTTCCAGACTTATCTGTCTTTGGAACCATAGCAGTGTGGCATTGAATGAGGGTGAGGAGGGTAGCTGGGAGGTAAACCCTGCTCCCAGGATTCTAATGCAGGCCTGCAATCCCCCCCTGAGGATGAGGTGGGGTGACTGTGCAACTACAGGAGCAGGGATGCGAAGCCCCCTCACTGCCACATGACCTCCCATAAGCCACTCAGACCCAGGAAGTGCTGGGCATATATGTAATGCTAAGGTATGTACAGCGTGGGACTCATGTCGCTTCCAAATCCACTATTCAGTGCCAGCTTCTTGTCTAAAATCTATCCAAAAATTGCATACCATGGGCAAGTATCAAGCCAGATCTGTCTCCCAGGTGACAATTTACAAACTGGAAGAACTGGTCTCCTCTCTCCTGAAACTACTTCCATCTTGGACTTCGGTATAGCAGGAGACAAAGGCAGGGCTGAGGGTCGGGGGTGTAAGAGCTCCCAGAACTGGCTCTTATCTAGGGTGTGATAAGAGAAGGGGGAGGTAAAGAGCCCATGGGAGGAGTTAAGTTTGGCCTTGGACACGAACCTTACAGTACCAAGCTTGAACATGCCTGCCTGGATCTGAATAGTCTCCACTTTCTTAAAGACTGGATTGCCAAGTCATACCACTTTAGGGTGCCATTGTCACATGGTAGGAAGCCATCTTTGTGGGAACATCAGATCATTTATTTAGTCAGGGAAACCCGTGTCTCAAGCAAATGCTGTGAAACAAGTCCTCTCAGTTGGTAGCCTTAGTTTTCTTGTCTGTAAGATGGGGACAATACTTCTTATATCATAGTTACAAGAGAGAAAAGCAATTAGGTTTGAGATGAACTTAGTGCTTGCTAGCCTTTTAATTAGCACTGGTCTTTCAATGGCTCAAACTTAAACTCAAAAAGAAATGTAATTCATAGCTTATTTGCCTAGCATACCCAGACCCTGGATCTGAGCCCTGGAACTGACCAAAACAACAACAACAAAAAAAATTCCAAACACTGCTAGACTTGGTTCCTATGTCAAGAAATTTCATATATCATAAAACTATAGGACAAGGCATATCCCAGTAATCTCAGCTCTTTGGAGGCAGAAGCATGCCACATGTGTTGGACCAGCCTGGGCTACAAAAACAAGCAAAAACTCTAGAGCATCAATAGATATAGGTCTGAGCTCAATTCTTAGCCATATAGTCTTGGACAAATCATAGTACCTGTGAGTTTTAATTTCCCATATGTCAAAGGGAAGTCTCACTCAGGGAGTTTTGATAATAAACTGAAAACATAGAGTGTATAGAGGTAGTGTTGGTCAGGGGCCTGCCTAGCACTGAAGGGGACACAGTGAGTCTGAGCTTCAAGCTTCCCTTTTTTGGGGGTGGAGAGGGGGTTAATGCCCTTTGGAGAATACTCTTCCCAGCTCCAAATGACAAAGGTCAAAAACTGTTAAAGCAGAGCTGAGCATGTTGGCCCAAGCCTGTAATCCCAGTGCTATCAAGGTAGGAGGAGTTCAAGGTAATCCTCAGCTATATAGTGAGGACACAGGCCACCCTGGACTACATGAGACCACAGAGCCTCAAACACAAAAAGAATACATCAATCAGGAGCTCCTGGGTGGCTAGTTCTTGGTAGCCTGCCTTTTTAACCACCACCCAGATGTTGCCTCTCTGGAGTCTGAGATGCAATCGAAATAGAACCGACTAGCTGGAAATATGCAGGGCTTTGCATTTTCTGGGGAGAAACAAGGATCTGTGATGTGTCCTTTCCGAGAATAGCCTGAAGCAGTTTGGGCTTTGTTGACTGAGTCCCTTATTTGTGGCTTGTTCCGTTTTCCTCCCTATGTGACTTTATGAGTCACAAAGACATTCCCTTCCCAGTCTCTGACCATCAAAAATGAACATTCAGAGCCCTGGATTGCAGGTGACAGCATAGTGGTGGGCTCAGCACACAGCACTGGGAGACAAGGTCAAGGTTCACACATAGACCCTGCATCCCCTCTCAATTTAGGGATGGGGACTCCTGAGCCCAGGTTGGCCTGTTTATTTATATTTAGAACTTCACTCTGTCTGCATCCTGGAGCCCCATCACCTACCTGAAGGGTCAGTGTGACAGTATGACAATGTCTTGGGGGAAAAGGTAGAGTTCCTGAAAACCTTTAAAGTCCTGGGGAGGGACATGGGTAGCAATGTCCAGGAGAGACACTCAATCCTCAACCCTCACCTCAGGCCCCACAGACAAGATCTGTTTCAAGGTCACTGCAACCTAAGAACAAAACCCTTGCGTCGTTTTCATGCCAACTTGCCCTCTCCATCTCTCCAGTCTGCTGCAGCAAGGTGTCTCTGGGAGAGTCTCAGCATTGACAAGCCCTGTCCTCAGTGTGCACATGAAAAGACCACCAGCCCATTAGCCGCCTTTACTGTAGAAAACGAGTCACAGCTTCCCGAATCCCTAAGCTGAGGCAAAGCCAGCCAGGGAAACACTTCTCTCCAGGCTAGGTGTAGAGCCCAGCAAGGACAAGAAGCCCTGGTCCACAGGTAGCCTGAAACCTTAACTTCCCGTCTGGCCTTCTACCTGCCTCTCAGGGTACTATGAAGCTACCATGAACCAGGAGCAACTGCAAGCCAGACCTGGTAACACAGGCCCATAAGCCTAGTTACTCAAGAAGCTAAGGCAGGGGGATGGCAGTTTTGAGGTCCATCTATGCTACAGAGTTAGTTCAAGGTGAGCTTGGGCAGTCTAGTAAGACCCTGTTTTAAAATAAAAGGTAAAAAGAGGGGACTGGAAGGATTTTCTAATATGAGCGAGGCCCTGGGTTCAACCCCCGTTCTGGAAGAAAAGAAAAAGTCTGAGGTGGAAAGGCAATGAAGGGCCATCCATGTTTCTGTGTTCTGTGCCCTGTGTCCACCTCTCTGTCTTAGTCGAGGCCTCTCACTTGTACCCTTGCCTCAGAGATCCCTGGCTGTCCAGGAGAGGGGCATTGTCTAGCCAAAGCTGTCTTTATTGCCTGGTCACCCAC